TGTTGCTGTTGCAGAAGAATAGATTCTCTGGTTTGTTCCATGAAATCCTTGAAGTAATTTAAAAATTCTTCGTTGAAAGTGTTCATTTTGATGATTTGAGTTGCGCGGAGGAACTTTAAGGTAGCTTTGTCGCCAAATATGTTGTGTATTAGAAATACGTCTACTCGTTTGTACTGTGTGAACTAAACTAACTTTATTCAAATTAAATCGGTGACAATAAATGCAAGGGTATAACTATATTGATTTTATGAGGTTACTAATAAATGCAAGGGTAAAACTATATTGATTTTATGAGGTTACTGCGATATGCAACAATAACGATGGCCACGCCACGGAAAAACAAGTGGAAAAATGCGACATATGGATGCCTGTTGAGAAATAGAATACACGCTCATTTTCAAAATCAACATATAATAATAATCAATATAATTGTTCATATCAATCATTCCACACAAAATTGAAACTTACCTACAGGATAAACTGTACACACTACGTGTACAAAGGCACAAAATCAATGTTTCGAAAATAAAAAGTACTTGGTAAAGTTTGGTGTCAATTAGCTTTTTCTATTTAATACTTGACAGATTTAGTGGAGACGCCGCATACATTCCCATTGAAAATGATGAATTTAATAAGAATTATGTTGAATATGGCTTCTCCACATATCGTATTAAAACTAAAAGCTCAAAAGACACCAATATTGAGGCAAAATTTGCCAGATAATTTGTTACCATTTTTTTTTATTTATTTCTAATACGCTGGTCGATCATGGAGAATTTACATGTTCTGATTCGGTTCATCAAGAAGAAAATGACAAAAGAAAGAAGAAAGATACTATTGCTGTTTACATTGTTTTTTCTTGACGAATAATTCACTTAATATTGTAAATAGACATGAAGTTTGCCATAAACGAATGAAACTTGAAACAGTTGACATTTCGAACTGAAAATATTGTTATGAAACTTTATGTGAAAAATGAAAAAAAAAAATTATTGTATATTTTCAAGAAAAAAATGTCAATTTCATTCAATTTTATTGGAAATTTTTAATTTTTTCAACACTATTTTTTTACATGTAAAATTTTCTTGAATTTTGAATGAAAACTTTAACACTTTAAAATCACATCTGTTCACTCTAGTCGAATGTGACAGATGGTTATTGCAACAATATGGATTTTGAAATTATAAACAATATCTGTCAAGCTCACATTTTAGAGGAACACACGAATCGAATATATTGTGAAAATTTCTTCAAAAAAATATTTAAAAATGGCAAGTCGTGGCAGTATATCTGGTATGTTTGTCTTTTATTCATAAATTTATATGCTTGAGATGAAGAATGGAGATATTATATCGATTTTAATGTACAAGTTTATGTTCCACTTTAAGATAATTTCCAGAAATATCATCTCGACCTTTATTCTCAAGCACAATTTTGTGGCGTTTTGTGTTGTTTTGTGCTGTTCTGTTTCGTTTCTCCATGTAATTTTCTTATTTTTTGATAGACGAAATGGTTTCGGGTGGAGATAAACTACCTATAAAGACAGAACTAGATGAAATTGAGGAATTTCATATAAAATCCGAAGTGGGTAGATCGCATGTGGTCAAGGGAATTTGTATGTATTTAGTTTAACTATTTGTTTTGATTATTTCTAATGAGTCGATCGGAGTTGAAGGTAATAAATTTTGATTTCTCGATTTCAGCTTCTCTAACTGAGGTTAATAACTGGATAACTGCTCTTTACGAGCAAATTCTGACGAGACTAAGCGATATGAGAAGCAATCAACGTAATGTTCGACTGCTTGCTTGCAGCAGACAGTGTAACAATATTATAGACTCAATGTTGAAGAAGATTGACGACTACGAAGCCAATTTTGGGTACAGCCAAGATAACACTCGCCAACAACCAATGGCAATAGGTATAATGAACCAATTTATTAATAATAATTATAATTGAAACTGATTTTTTTATGATTGTTATAGGATCATTAGCATGGTACGAAATGTTTGTGGGCTTACTGCTTGAGCACGGAAGAATTTTAATTGAAGAAACTAACGCAAATGTTCTCGACGGCAATGCAGTCTCACGCCAATTCATTCGGAACTTGAATTTATTGGATAAGTTCAGAGCAAAGGGCAGATCACGTTTTCCCAACGATGTATAGAATTTCGATTCGAATAAATGTGAAAAAGAATTTTCTTTAAAAATAGGTACACCACAGGCCATAAGTTTGGATACCTCTTTGAAACGTTTGTTTCTTCGTTTTTTGAACATTTCCACTTGAAATTTTGTATTGGATATGAAAATATATCGAAATTCTGACCGAATGGATGATTTGGAAGATAACATTTGGCCGGCCTATGGCCATCTTTTGGCCTTTGAGCTGTGGGAGCCAAAATCAAAGTCTTAAACGGGCCATCGGATTAAAAAGTTATATACGCCATTGGAAAGGTCTTGAAAAGTAGATGTGATTTTTGGTATTAAACATCAAAATCGGCCGGCGTTTGGCCAAGATATGGCCGTTTGTAATTTTTTGGCCGAAATCTTCAATCAGCCATATCTTGGCCAAAAGCTGGCCGATTTTGATGTTTAATACCAAAAATGATACGTACTCTCCGAGACCTTTCCAACGACGTATAGCATGTTGAAATTGGACAAGCGGTTTGAAATTTCAAAATTTTGGGCCAAATTCATCCATAGGGATATCCAAACTTATGGCCTGTGGTGTATATTTCATTATACGCTTTTGAAAAAAACGCACAAAATTCGATTTTTATCTATATCAGAAGTTTTATTTGATAGAAATTTTTATATTATTTAGTGCTTGAAAATAATTTCTGGCATATGACCTCCGCAGAGTGACGCAAGGGGTGCTTGCGTCGGCCTTGCGTTAACAGCATGGTTGACGCAAGGATTGCACTCGAATCCCCCCTTTCCTACTACTCAGTACAGATCAAGTATATAAAAGTATCACAAATGTGAGAAAAATGGTATTTGTTCAATACCGGTTTGTATTTTGAAACTGGTGTAAAGGTAAAACGGCGTTGTGTAACGTGGCTGTTGTGCTAGAGAAAAGAAAACCAACGGTAGAACTGTGAAATGGAATAAAAATGAAGGTTCATCGAGTTTCTATGAACCAAACGTGGCAATATTTACGTTAGATAGTACGTGCAACGCAAAATTATTCACATTTTGTGATAACGCATACTACTAAAACAAAAAAGAATGACTCATAGCAACCATTTACTCGTGATATTTTGACCGCTTATCATAAGGAAAAAATCAAAAAAATTTATGGAGCAAATTCCAATGAAAAATTACATTTTTCAAATGAATAGTGCTTGTCATGACATTCATTTGAAATGGGAATGAAATTCAAAACAATAATATTGTGTTTTTCATTTCAAAAAGCATTATACATTTCAGTTACGGAGTGACGGCTGTAAATAAGTTCGGTCCATTTCCATATCGCAAACACCACCATTTTCGAAGAGAAAAAAGTCCATATTCATTTTGAAAGTTTCTTGTTCATTTTTTTTAATTCAAGATCTTAAATTAAAAGGTTGCCAAATATTCATACACAGTGTTTGCTTAATTTTCTATCCTTGGAATGGTTTTTTTTTTCAAATGTTATTTTCAAAATCATCTGATCAGGTTCCAAATCGCTTGATCGCAATCAATTGCCATTTCAAACGATGCCGCTTGCATTGGTTGTAGGTGGTTGCGAGGGTCGTGAAATGAAATCGAATGCATTCCGGAACACTTGCCTACGCACAAAATCACTAGCAGCTGAATTTAAGTTTGTACTCGATCCGTAGTTGCACTTGATGTATCCGTATAAGTTTGCACCGTTTAAAATTATGGCAATGAATACCAAAACCTGAAATTAGTTTTTTTTTGCTAAATACAATCACAAGCCCGGAAGATGGGAATATAAATCGACACATACCAGCCATCTGAATTTGAAACCGAAGAGTGCAACCATGAAGAAGAGACCCCAGATCATTGGAAATAGAACAAGTGCCAACCAAAAGATTCGTTGTTCTTGTGCGTTAACGCGGCCCTGCTAAATGGGAAAAAAATTTGACATGCAAATAAAATACATGAAAAATGATCCGAATGTGGTAGGCATGCAACCAAATGTGCGCAAAGAGAGAGAAAAGCTGTGATTAGTAAAGCTAATGTTAGATTAAGAGTAGTCGTTTTTAGCGCAGATACCTTTTTCGATTCATACACCCAATGCGATTGTCCATCGTCATCAATGTAATTCCACCATCGTAAACCGACCAACAAACGGCCGGTTATATTTTTCACCGTCCAAAAATCAGCGGACAATAACAGCACTACAAACAACAAAACTCGTGATGAGTGAATTGATGAATATACCGCAGAACATGTACGTAACTGTTGTGTATTAGAAATACGTCTACTCGTTTGTACTGTGTGAACTAAACTAACTTTATTCAAATTAAATCGGTGACAATAAATGCAAGGGTATAACTATATTGATTTTATGAGGTTACTTCGATATGCAACACCTCCCCTTCTAAAATTTTAACTTCTAGTTAAAATTGTGGGTGATCGCAGACGTGGGTTCCAAATTGGTTGGTATCGGATGTCCATTCTTCCTTCCTTTCACAAGAGTTCGATGCAATCGAAGAAATTGCATTTTTCAATAGCCAAATGTGGTGATTGAAAATACGTCGATGTTCTTCAGGCCAAATTTTGTTGGTATCTCCTTCAAGCAGTATTTCTAGTTTGCGTTGAATGTAGTGAAGATTTTTGATGAACTTTCTGTAGAAATTTGCTGTAGCGATAAGTGATTGGAGTTCACTTAAGTTGGTTGGTGAATTCGCATGAATGGTACGAACATGAATGTTATTCGAAATCATTTCTGCTTTGTTGCTGCAGAATTCGTTGAAGGGTTTATCCCATAGATGGAATAAATCGAGAAGATCATTTCCAAAAATGTTTAGATCTTCGTGGGACGAAACGAAAATTTTTGTTTTCTTTTTTTCGTTTAAGAGTTCGATTGTGCAATCAATTTCTCCAATCAAGTCGATCAATTTACCTGATGCATTTTTCGGGGCCAAACTGGTCGAAAGCGGACGAATTCGCAGGTATAATTTTCGGCAATTTCGCTTCGAGATGATCGAAATGTCGCCAGCTGAATCGGCTTGAAGTTGAATGGGCTTGTTGTTGATTAGGACGTCAACGAACTTTTTTCTTGATTGGCAATCGATTTTGTGTAGTAACACAGAGGAAACCTTTGGTTTATGATTTGATGAATGACCCTTGGATTTGTTCGTGTTTTCTTGTGAAGGTTCACGACTTTTGGAGTTTTCATCGTGTTGTTTCGATTTGCAGAATTGGACCCAATGTCCGTTGAATCCACAGAAGTTGCATTTCGATTTTGCTGCTGGGCACTGGTTTGGTGGATGAGTTTTACCGCAATTGTTGCAATCGTCATCACTGTCGGGATTTTCCAGAATTGTATCTGGTTTTGGCTTGTTTTCTTTTTAGAAGTGATTTTTATTTTTCGACACATGGTTTACTAGGATTGAATGTTCAAATCCTAGTGGTTTTTGTATCATCGAAGCGTCCCGTTTGAGATTTATCAGTCGACCGTATTCGTCACTTAGCTTTTCGAGCGTGATTTTATCGTGTTCGACATCAAGTTTTGATAAAAGCTTTGTTCGGATGTCGAGATCTCTGGTCGATGATAGGCCGGCAACGAAGATGAGACATTTAAACTGGTCGATGGACATTTTCTTCAGTTCAAAAGCTTCACAAGCTTTGTTGACATTTCCCATGTAGTCGAGATAGTTCATTTCATCATTTTTGTTGATTTTGAAGCACTTGAAGCGAGTTTTGAGCAGGGACTCGTGTCTTCCAAATAGTTTCTTCAACTTTTCGATGGTTTCAGTGAAACTGAATTCTGATGAACGTTTTGGGAGTATGTAGTTCATGTACCTTTGGTGAGCAGACGTTTCCAATTTGCGAAGCAATAATCTCACTTTTGCAGGGTCGTCCAGGTTGGCTGCGTCTCTTTCGAAAAAATCTTGGAATCGACGATACCAGTTTTCGAAGATGCAATCATTTTCGGGGTCGTAGACGAATTCGGTGAGTGAGGTTGATAAAGCTTCGATCAAGAATTCTGGATCCGTGGTTTTTCGAGGGGCTCCAACGAGGTTTTCGGTTGAACCACGATTCGATAAATTGTTTAAAATGCCGAGGATTTCATTGATGGTGCTTTGAGTGTGGTTGTGTCGGATTTCTTGGTGTTGCATTTGTTGCTGTTGCAGAAGAATAGATTCTCTGGTTTGTTCCATGAAATC